GTACACAAAATCCACATAAATCCACCTTGAATACATTCCTATTCGATGCAGATGCATGCCCCTCTATTGGATGTCCCTCTATTGGATGCCCCGACCCGACTAGAGCTAGACGTACTTGAAACATTTTTTCCTGTCTTTCGAAATGTGAGTCTTGAACAGGACCGAGTCCGCCCGGTACTGGGTGTTCAGCAGGGGCGTGTAGCCGAACACCTGGCTAAAGAAATTGATGCACTTGTGGCGGTCCTCAAGGTGCTTGGGTCTTTGGCTGAGCGAAGACTTAATTCCTCGACGGCGAAAGCTCCAACGAGAAGTGATTTTCACCGGCGGCCTTCGAGTTATGTGCGAGACAAGGAAGTTCATGGCGATGTCCTCGCAGTTCATGTTCTCATCCACCTTGTCCCTAATGGCCTGCGGCATATGATAGGTGTACAGGTACATGTAGTACTTGTGCAGGAAGGCCGCTCCGGTGAGCACCATGCTCAGCTCGCAGCTGAAGCTGTAGTTGTAGCGCCACGTGCTGCTGACGGCATCCCAGGCATGGTGGCGGCCAGGCAATCCCACGATACGATCGCGGTGCTCGCGCCACACCCGGAAGCCGAACACAATCTCGTCTTGTCCGATTTGAACGTCGTCGTCCATCGAGAGCACCGCCTCCGTCTCTATTACGTCCCATGGCAGGAAGCGGTTGTTGAGCGAGTTATGCTGTCCGCGTACAACTTCGACGGGCACTCCGATAGCCGGCCAGCGGAGACTGAGTTGCGGCGACTTTGGCGAATTCCATACCACGACCACCTTGTAGAGATAGGGCAGTCGGTAAAGGCGGCGCAGGGATCCCAGCAGTGCGTGCTCCCGATCGTATGATAAAATTACGATGGTGAACTGCTCCCTGGGGTAGTTCCCGCCGAGAGCCTCGCTGAACTCCTTACCGGCGCCTCCAATTCCCTTACCGATTGGCCGGAATCCTGTATGGGATCCGATGAACTTTGCTTCGGAGGGAAGGGCGGGATCGAAGGGCAGCTGGGGGTACAAGTAGTAGGGTTCAACCCAGTCGTTCCAGACCTCCATTGACTGCACGCGTAGAATCGTGTAGTTTCGGCCAAAGGCGGGGCTCGGATAAGGCGGCTCAATGGGGCCAAGAGACTCCTCCGGCTGAATGGTTAATCTTATCTTTGCCATTAACGGCGTAACCGAAATGTTGAAAATGTGATGAGAAACAACGCTTGGAATAGGCCGCGGTGGTATCCCTAGCCGATCGCGTAGGCTAGCTATAACCGTATCCACCGTGGCCTGAACCGAACTGAGGTAGCGCTCCCAGATAAGACGGCCCTGGCGCCGCAGAAGAAGCAAGTCCGCATCCTGGACGGCTCGCAGTAGGAAGTGCAGCTCCGTGATGCGAGCTTTGGGCATGAGGAGTGCCGCCCGACGCCAGTCCAGAGTCTCCGCGTACGGCAGTCGGAGTTCATCTGCTCCGAGGATGACGGGAATGGCCCCAGAGCGCAGCGCCTCGTAGAGTCGGGCCAGCATGAGGGTGGAAGCAACCCGCCCGCTGAGCGGCGGAAGGATCAGCGCAAAGGTAGAGTCCTTCAGCAGATGTTTGCGGGAGGAATCCGATCCACAGAGCGTCCAGTCGGACACGGAGTCCGCCTCCTGCTGCTCCGTGGCAGGCACGCACTGGAACTGCAGCTCGAACTGATCCTGAGTGGGTCCCTTAGACATGTCAGTCAAGTGTTCCAGAATGAAGTCGTCGAGCGGGTTTGAGGCTTGAGAGTCTGTTCTCGGTCTCATCTCTCCTTGGAACGAAATCAAGTACTTGCGGCGGGCGGGCACCATGCTGGCACACTCCTGCCAAACGTCTCCTCCGGGTGGCCCCAGGATGGGGGGCACAATCAGATCGTATCCGGGCCGGAACTGGTTCATCTCAAAAGCGCTCTGAACGACAATGGCACGCATGGTGTTCTGCTGAAGCAGTGCATTGGTGCGGCGGGAGGAGAGGTCACGGCGTGCGAGGTTGAGCAGCACATGGTTGCGGCCATCACCGCCCCAGTAGGGCAGGTTGTACAGCTTCTGGGTGTCAATGGGGCAGTCGTGTGTGTGGCTGGATGCCGTCGGCTGCTGCTTAACCAAGAGAGCTTCGCCCAATATAACCAGGAAGATGCAGGCCTCCGTTGGATCCGTCACGATGTGCGCATTGGAGCCTAGAATCTGTTTTAGAGTCTTTTTGAGGAACTCATCGATGTCGTAGCCAGCTCTTTGGACGCTGTGCTCGCCGGGGTCGTATAGGTACACTGGGAAGCCAGAGGTGAGGCTGCAACGGGAGTGGTCGAAGCAGTTGTGCATCGCACAGGTCGCGGCTACGCCCGTCGACACAGTATTCATCTTTTTGGGCAGCGAGTTGGCAAGGAGGGTGAGCGGCAGGGTAATTTTGGGATGGTCTCGCATTGCCTCTTGTTGGGCCTCCTGCGCTTGCTTCACGCCGATTTTGAGCTGCTCCAGCGTATTTTGCTCACGCAGTCGCTCCTTCTGAAGCTTCACAAGTTCCCTCTGGT